CTCTGGAGTGCGCGGTGGGGTGGGAGACGGTAAAATAAATCTGAACCCGGGTGAGGGTTGAGAACTGCCCTTTGTGGTTTGGGCACCTCCAGTTCTGTGGTGGTCTACAGGCCGTGGCGTGCCCCCTTCCTCAGTCGCAGCCAGTGAAGGGGGGTGAGGCAGGGGTGTCCGTGGTTGGGGCGGCCGGACAGGGATTGGGTGAACGAGTGTCCTTCCTCTGTGCATGGACGACTGTCTTACCATAAAGCTGTCTGTATCCAAAGATGAATTTTTTTGGTTGCTTGGCCAAACTTGTGGGTTTCATTCCGAAAAAGTCTCAGTGCATCTCCTGGGGCCCTTTCCCCATGTAGACCAAATGATTCTAAAGTGATCACTTGTGTTTGGGGGAGTAAAGCACTGCTTTCCACCCTTTTGCAGTTGTGGATCCATAATGCTTTCCACTGGCGTACAGATCTCTCTGGGAATACCTCAGATGTGGCATTCACTATTTTGCTTTTCTAAGTGACCTTTCCTCAGAGGGCTAGGAAGAGATTCACAGGCAACCCCAAGAGGTTCACTGCCTGAAAATCACTGAAATAAAAAAGAGAGGAAAGTACAAACAGAAAAGGGAAACCAAAGAGAACAGGACAGAACTTTAAATGGTTTGAGGATCAAACCTCGAAAGTTAGGATTCACAAAGGGCCTAAAAACACCTGAAAGAAGGAGGAAACAGAAAAAAGAAAATCACGTAAGTTGCTTGGTTTTGTCTGGCTTTGTTGCATTTACCATCTGGATTTCTAAAAAGAGATGTTAGGCTCCTCAGCGTATGCTGTGTTTGATGACAGCCAAACTAGATTGCTGATGATGAATTGCTCAACTTAATTGCTTGCTAACCAAGACACATGTAGATGAAACTGTGATAGCTAAAGCTTTTTGTTGCATTATATTTCTTTTTTTCTTTACCGCTGTGGTGGTGTACAGAATTTGAGAAGCACTCACCACAGTCTCATAATACTAGAAAAAATACTACCATTGAATTCAAGTTCTTTCACTATCAAAACAGTGAAAATTATTCAAAATATTAAAAGCAACATAAGACAACCTAAATACTATATGCTTTTCACTACCGCTAGCTGATATTGATATTATTGTCTTTAATGAATGTTACACATAGAAAGGAAAGCAGGAGGAAGGATAAGGAGGAGTTGTAATATGATACTAGTTTTTATTCTGTTTAGAGTCTCAAAAATCACTTTACAAGTCATGGAAGTTCTGTTTGCATACATGCTGGATGCAAATAGGCATTAACTGGATTAATAACAGTCTGGTAAATTTAACAATACAGTGAACATTAGGAATGAATTAATCTGAAACCCTTTGGTAACCAGCACAGCTACTTAAACGATGTCCTTTGGCGCACACAAATATTTGTACGGTATATGCAGAAGGGGTGGGGAAGCTGAGTGCTTTTTCACAAAGGAGGTTCTGTTCTCGGTAACATGATTCCAGTTAGTCCTGGCCAAAGCAGTAATGCTGACAGCAATTATGACAAAGGGAATGTATATTTAATTTGATGGGGTTAGATCTCTTTTGTCTCATCAGTGCTATGGAAGTATAAAGAAAAGAAAGGTGCGGGGGGAGCATTTGGATGCTGGCAGTTTGAATTTACAACGTGTGAAAGAATGTCTGGTGTGAGAGTGGTATGTGAGATGTTAAAGTGTAATATTTTTAAGGTTTGGAACAAGGGAAAGAAAGCCTATGTTGTGATAGAAAATATGGAAGAGAAATTTCGGGCATTTCTTTAAACATGAAGTTGATACACTGAACATCATTCTGTTGAAAGCAAGAGATGTCCAAATACCTTGTCCTTGTCTGTTTGTGATTTAAAACTAATATTTCATTTATTTGATTGGATGGCTTGACACTTGATTTATTTTCTGCTGAAGTTTATCCTTCCATGTAAACCTTACCATCAGTGGAAAAAACAAGCTACTCCATAAATAGCAGTATTTGTTGAACCTGTTTTTCTGTGACTGCTGACCTGTATCCCCCTCACTCCACTGCCTTTTCCTTGCAGCACTTTCCTCCCAATTCATGCTTTCCTTAAAGACTCATGCTCTAAATTCTCTCCAAGTTCAGTTTCAATATCCCTAAAATATCTCTAAGGCAAGAGATACTTTTGGTTTTGGGAGTGCTTGTTCATACATTGGTCTGCATGTGGTGTTGGTTAGCAGCAGACCAAGCAGAGACTGTAACAGTTGGGTTCCTACTGTAGCATTTCCGTCATCAAGGTGACCAATACATGTGTTTCATTTGAATGCAGATGCTGATTTCTGAAAATGGTAAGAATATACTTGTAGGAGACCTTTAACTCTCTATTAAACTTGACTGAAATTGGCCATTGTGTTCCAAAAGTAGTTAAGAGGAGACTGGCGGGAAGACCACAATTGCACAACTCTTGTTTTATTTGGAAACCACGCAAAAAGAGCTACTTTTTTTAATAAGCACTTGGTACCATATGCTGAAGAGTGATTCATGTGTCTTAAACTTATTGTTGGCAATTAAACAATTCATCTCTGTAACCAAGACTGATTAAAAAAAAAATATTTCTCATAAGGTAATCTTGGGTCAACACTGGACTTTCACTAGTGTAGTTGTATCAAACATCTTTGATTTATAATCAACATAACTCTGCAAGAAGATGTCTTTGGATTAGATGCAGGTAAAGTGTCAAAGTTAAACTTTGGTCAATTTAACTTCTCTTGCTACTTTAACCTGAAATAAAGGCTTTAAAATGTAAAGCTTTCTTAAATCTAAAGTCCTAATAATATCACTTTAACAACTCCTTTGCAGTTTTGCATTTTTTCCTCTTAAAATGATGATGTTCCTGTACTCCCAAGTGAATTTGTGGGAGCTGAGTGTTTCATTTCATGACCATGTCAGGATGAAATTTGTTTGAAATAATCAGATTTCATGGGACAGTGATAGCGCAATCTTACTAGAAAACTTTTGGGGTTTTTAAAATGCATAATCTAATGTTTTCCAATCCTCTTTCTTAATTGCCTGTTGCCTGCCTGCAGCTTGAATTGTACAACTTGTGGATCAGCCACTAAATAAACCTCACTGCAGGAGTAAGACCTCAATTTTTCCTTCCTTTTGCAGAATTAACATATGTCTTTCTAAAGTTCACTGCTGATGAAGCTGTCCCAAAATGCGTTTTTTCACTAGGCTGCTATGGTACCATCATCCTTGGTTAGGTATGAGAAATTTATAAGTGGTTCTTTGGAAAGAATAAAATAGTAGAGTAAGTCTTTATTTACAACAGCTATTAAAAGTAAATTATTATATCTTCATATCATACTGTTAATGTCACCCTATTTACCTCCATGTTTTTCATTTTTTCAGACATTCTTTCTAACCTGTTTGATCTGAAGGGATGTGTTTTCAAGTGCTCCAGGTCCTTTCATTTTCTCAGTGTTTGGTTTCACTCATGCTTTGTGCCTTAGAGCTTTGGGTCTTTTCAGTCAGAGGTCCTGAATGGTGTGACCTCTCTGTTTTCTTTGTGAATATTTCACAGTAATGCTTAGATGCTTCATCCTGACATTTCAAATCATTCCCTGACTGGAAGGAAGGCTGGGGATCAAGTTCTAGATGTGATAGATTGATTCACTGTATGACAAATTGTTAGTTTCCTTTTGTGGTATTCTTCTGTAGTAATACTTTACTTCTGTTTCTCTTTGTTGGTGATATTGTAGCAAAAACATACTCAGGAATATGGAAAGATCTTCAAGTCTCACTTTGGTCCCCAGTTTGTTGTATCCATTGCAGATCGAGATATGGTTGCTCAAGTCCTCCGAGCAGAAGGTAGAGCACCACAAAGAGCTAACATGGAATCCTGGCAGGAATACAGAGACTTACGAGGGAGAGCCACGGGACTTATTTCTGCGTAAGTGTTGTTATTCCTTCATTTTCTTTGTTTTCTTATAAAAGTTTAGTGATTTTTTTTTGAAGGACTGTACAGGTCATCTGGGAGTTCAGGCTTTTCTGTGTAGGGAAATTTGTGTGTCTGGTGGGGGGAAGAGGGTAGGAATTTACGGTGAATTATCTGTACTGCTGTAAATTTTCAAAGGGATGGTAATGATGCGGAGTTTGAATGTGGAACAAGCCCCCTTGCGTAAAAAACATTCTTGGAGAATGTGTATCAACTAGAGTTGTTTGAGCTGACTCACTTACCTGGAAGCAGTAGTGCAGAATAGGGCTTACTAACTTTGGCACAGCACTGCGCAAATGTGGTTTTATTGCTTTGGATCCAGACTCTTGCATCCAGCTGGCAGTGTCCTGTGTGGACTTGTTGGCTTAGGCTGGCTTTAGCTTTATTGTTCACCAAAGGGCTCCCTCAGTAGATTAATGCAGAGAAGTCACTGTACGGTAAATGCACACTGTAGTGCATCCCCATGGAGACATTTTTGTATGTGCCTGATTCCAAAAGAGTTATCTGTCTTTAAAGCTTGCAGAAACTGGCAGTGCATGTGGGTGTGGTTAGTTGCCACTGGGAACTACTCACAGTCCCCACTGACATGGGATGTTTATTTAGAGAGAAACTAATTTTCTGAGTCAAGGACAGTCTGTTTCTTTCATAGTGGTAAAAGGCATTATGTATTGCACTGCACACTCAAATCTTAAGCTGCGGTTCAGAGTCAAACTAACAGTTCCTCGATATTTTGTGAAATGAGATCTTAAATCAAGAGATAGTCAGAAAATGTCTGTTAGAGAGATTAAATTTTTCTGCTAGCCAGTAAGTTTCTGTACCTTGCATCAGCATTGCTTCAGGTAAAGAAATTTAATGGGAAATAAACAACAATTTAAACTAAATGCATAAAAGACAATTGCCTGTCTTCATAAGGAATTGAAAGATATCCCTGGAACCACTGTTCCTGCATACTCTGCTCATATGAGGCATGCAGATGCTACAATTCAGATTTTTAGTTTTCGGCACAAAGATTTCAATACATAGCTCAGCTAAAGGAGAATCTAAGTGTAAATTGTTTCTCTATAGCTACGTCTGCTATCCTATTACTTTGTAGGTTTAAAATTAGGGTAACTGAAAGTGATATATCAGTAATGGAATTTATGGTACTAGCTCAAATCATTGATTTGTCAGATCTGAATGTGATACCTTTCTTTGGTAATTAAGCACCAATTCTAGGTAAAAGCACTTTTGCAGACTATCCATTCAAATATTTATTTAAAATCATTTTAATAAGACAGTTTTGCTAATTTCTTGTGTTAGCTGCTACTAAAATCTAATATAGAGAAACTTGTCAAATTCAGAACACTGAGTGGACAAGTTCTGTCACTCAAACCAGAGACTGACTTACACATGTAGATACATGCTGCAACACTGAAATTTAATGAAGATGTACAATAAATACAGAATAAAAATGTAGGAGCATAATACCAGATATACATTATCATCATTTTCATTTCACCACTTGCTTTCATTTGATGTGAAAAATCATTAACAGTTTCATTGTGGACCTGTTACCCAGCTGATGATTCTTAAGGAAAATTGTGCATAAACATTAATAATTTCTTCTAGGGAGGGGGAACAATGGCTAAAAATGAGAAGTGTACTGAGGCAAAAAATTCTGAAACCCAAAGATGTGGCTGTTTACTCTGAAGGAGTCAATGAAGTTATCACAGACTTAATTAAAAGAATCTACACCCTCAGAAGTCAAGAGGACGATGGGGAAACAGTGACCAACGTTAACAATCTTTTCTTCAAGTATTCAATGGAAGGTAAGCCCAGGCTGCATAACATCTGTAAAGAAAATGGAGGTAAAGCAGTATGCTTATGGTTAGCCATTTTTGTCAAATGACTAGTGCCCCATTGTGATTAATCTGAAAAGGGAAGCTTGATTTCTGCATTCAAGTGTCTTCCCACTTAGTGCAATAGATATCAGTAGAATTCCTTTGTAAAATCCAAAGAGATGATGCCTTGTACTAAGGGACAGTTCCTGTGGAAATGCTGGTATATAGGTAAAATGTACAATCAAGGTCCTGTGCAGTTTCAGTGCTTTGTATGTCTGCATTAATGTCTCAAGAATAAGGGTGTTGACCTTCTAACAGTGCGACTTCTAAGACATGTTAATTTAACAACATAGTGGCCAAATTCCAGGTGGGGAATCACTGTGTGATGTATCTAAATTCTGTTCATAGCTTAATGTGGGAAGAGATACTGCTTTCCGCTGCCTACACATGCCAAGTGTGTGATTGTTGTGCTCGCCTTAAAATCATCTGTCACTGGCTACCATTAACGAGGGAATGCTAAATGGAACTCCAGCATGAGCGAGTGTGGCATTTCCTGTGTTCTTACAGAAATCTTATAGTGACTCATATTTCATACATTCCTTTAACTGACTGCCATACAACCTGATCTTGTTATATGTAGTGCCTTTTAAAAACATTGGTACTCTTTGCTGACAGGCAGCTGAATAATTTGAGATTTGCAAGAACTTCCAAATTGCTCACCTGTGAAGATGCTGTATCAAATTGCTGACTGCCTGTTTGGTAAACTAGCCTGAGTCTGTTCTACATTAATAGTGTCTAAAATGGCATTAAGCTTAGAGTTACAAATTTTATGGAATTTTAAACTCCGAACTTACAGATTCACTTTAACTGATGGGTTAGTTTGAATTCTTTACATTCTTTTAGATTTTAATTTATAACTTGTGCCTGGCATGCACTTATTTCCTATAAGAATTGCAGTTTTAATTAAGTTACACTGTCAACTGTCCAGGGAACCAATGTGTAAGATTTTTTTTGAAGGAACAATGTAAAGAGCAAAAGAATGCATAAGAACTATCAGTTGCTGAAAGAGGCACAAGAGAAATAAAAGGCACAGAAAAATATCTTCCCAGGGAGGAAAATTAGGGAAGGTAGAGTGAGTTGAAAATAACCAGATTTTAAAATTATTTTTATCAATAAAGAAGAAATACAAAACAAAGAACAGAGAAAAAGAAAAGTTTCTTAAAATATCTATGTATATACTTGAGAATTTATGGACAGTTTGATGGAGGGCAAGATCAAGGTTAAACATCATTATCTATTGTACCTGTTTTTAATAGGAAAAACAGAGAAAAAAGAGACTAGACTGTTAATAGACCAGTTACTCTAATTGTTTAGTTAACAGTTATTCTAATATTTCCTGGAAAGATGTGGACAAACTGTTAACTAATGAATTTAAAAGCACAAAATTTGTTTAAAAACATTTTATTTGATGCAAATGGCTTTGAGAAATTATCTAAATGCCTTTTTAAATTACCTAATTGCCCCACTGGATTTTAGAAAAACCTTAAATAAGATTATTTTGCTAATAGGAATCCTTTTTATACCGTAATGTGGTATTTTCATAAATAAACTGGGTAATTTGATCTAGATTTTGCAAGTTGGGAGGAAAAATTGCTAGAAACCTGTGTTCAGGAAGTAATTAAAAAATTGTTTGCTGTCGAGCTGAGAGAACATTTTGGCTAACTCCAGTAGTGCAGTTTCTGGCTGAGTTCTGTCTAGTAGTTAATAATTTGGGTATGTTTATAAAAGCTGAGCTGAGAGATTGCAGGGATGCTAATGGACGGGTAAGAATTAACTTGAGAAATGGAAGACATGTCCAGAGTTGAGAAGAAGAATAATTTAGTAAAATATATATATAAAGTACTGTTCTTTGGTGGGGAGAAACAGTATTTCCAGTACAGATCACTGCAATACTGCATAAAAACATCTGAGGAAATTAAAGCAAGTCAGGAAAAAGAGACGAGTCAATGTTGTCAGTTGCAACACTGTCACACACTTGCTGTTTTTCAGGGCCACATGGAGCACATTGTCTGCAGTAAAATCACTGCCTAAAGTGCAAACTCTTTATCCATTCATGCATACTCATTATTCATTTACTACCAGCTTATGACGAAGAAAGGCATAGCCACTGCTAGAAACTCCTGCGTTATCACCAGTTATCAAAGATGTCTTTGGACTGGTATGTCTCTGTGTGTTCAGAGGGCAGCACGGCAGGCTCAGGATTTGTGGTGTAATGCAAAACACAGCAATCATGCTGGAGGACTGCTCTACTTCTGGTGGAATTCCTGACTGTCTTCTCATGCTGAGCATTATTGATGTAGTAACCACTGTCTTGCTACAATGTTTAGCTGGGATTTTTTACTGTTTTATATTTCTATTTTATCCGCTCCCAACTGCAGTAATAATAACTAAAATTTTTGGAAGGTAGTGCCATTATGTTAGCATTTTAATTCCTTAAATTATTAATATGTATATATACATGTGTATAGCAAATTCTTTGATTTCATATGTGCAGGTGTGGCAACTATTCTGTATGAATGCCGGTTGGGCTGCCTGGAAAACAACGTCCCACAGCAGACTGTTGAATATATTGAGGCTCTGGAGTTGATGTTTAGTATGTTTAAGACCACTATGTATGCAGGTGCTATTCCCAAATGGCTTCGTCCACTTATTCCAAAACCCTGGAGAGAGTTCTGCAGATCCTGGGATGGACTCTTCAAATTTAGTAAGATTTAGTAGTAGAAAGTTCAGCTGTATTCCTGCAGGTTCTGTGTGTGTTTCAATAGGACTTGCTGCATTTCTCTTTTAAAATTGTAAGAAGACATTGTGGCAGAAGTAAGTTTCATATTAAACGCAGACTGGCCAAGGGAACCGTTTAAAAAAAATACTCTACTGAAAAAGAATATTACCAGTACAGTTTAAATATTCCCCTATTTTATACTGCTGTTTCTATATTTGTCTTCATCTGGTTCAGCACCCAGTCCTCACTCCAGGTCTGAGTTCTTTGCCAAGTCTTTATCGTAAGCCACTCAAATTTTAATGAGGGTAGTTTTGGTGACCTCAGCAAGTTCTCAGTCAGGCACTCTGACAAATAATCACCACTAAAATGGACTAGAAAGTTAAAAAATTAGACACTAACAATTAATTAAATTCTTTGTGAAGTTTATATATACACATACAAGCATATACATAGAAGTACACTGCTGTACTACAATATGGTTTTTTATAAATAAAGCATTCCAGACTACTTTATGAATCAGCTTTCATGTAAGTAAGAAGAAAGACTTGTCTTTGTAAATATTTTTTTTTTTTAATATTCTGGAGTGTTAAAAAACCCTGAGCCCGCTTGCCCTCTCTAATGTTAGAAAGTTGCATGCATTTTTTAATTTATTTTATTAGCACTATTATCTAGGTAGTCTGTGTACATCTTCTTGAGGGTAGATTCTTTAGTTTCTTAACTTTTAATATGCTTAATATGCTTAATTTTTAGTATATATCGATCTGGACCTATAGTAGGCATTAGGGAATCCATTTAATGCTGATACAGGTGTGTTTTCTGTGAAACACATACTTTTTTACACTGGTACTTTTAAATTATTTCCCACAATAAAGTACTCTTGTTTCCTTTTGTTGGTTAAAAACAACAGCAGACTTCAGCTTTATCCTAACAGCAGCTGAAAAAATGTTCTTGAGGAATTTGTTCCATTTGAAACTTGTTGTCATGCTGTTTCTTTGTTTAATCCCTTTGTGAAAAAGGAATTAAATGGTGAAAATCACTGTATGTGATGTGTGTATTTGTGTAGGTTTCATAAAGGAACATGTTGATTCTAGTTCATTTTTTTTAGTAAGCTCATTCTGTAAGGCATTAACTTTCTGAAGTGTTTTCCTCTTTTTAAAGCCCTTGCTTCACTGAAAATGCTGTTTGTAGTCACTAAAGTATAAATGGTACTGTGGGTGAAATTGCTGAAAATGTCATTCACTGAAGTTTTTCAATTTTTGTTACTACTTGATGCTCCTCATCTTTGTCTTCAGTGTAATTCAGTTCTGTGGCTTTGACCTTCTTGTTGCTGCTAGCATCTTTTGGCAGCCTCTGTGTGCTGAGTTGCAGCATGCTCTGCAGAGTTCACCACTTCTTGCAGAGTCATCAGAAAACAAGCCAGGTGGGCGTTAAAACTTGACCTTGAGCTTTCTTTGCTCCCCGTCACAAGCTATAGTCTCTTGTGTCCTTCTTTCTGCTCAGCATTCTCATGCTGTGAGCTATCAAGGCTCCTGTCAGCTCAGTCTTTCCTTACCACAAGTACCCAAGGACCTCAACCGTCACTCTGTTATCTTTTCCCTGAGAAAATAGATTTAATTTTTTTTTGGCTATGTAGTGTAGCATAAGGGAGAAATGTCATTACTGAAGCAGAAAATAAAAATGGAGGCTTAACAATTTTTTTGAATCCCAAAGGTCAAATCCGTGTTGACAACAAATTGAAGGCTATTCAGTCTCAGCTGGACCAAGGAGAAGTAGTGAATGGTGGGCTACTTACATACCTCCTAGTGAGTAAGGAACTTACTTTGGAAGAGATCTATGCCAATATGACTGAAATGCTTCTGGCAGGAGTGGACACAGTAAGCTTGTTATAATTTTTCTTGTGTACAGTTGTTTTTCTAAACCAGTACCATTCATAGGTGTCTTCAGGGGGGTTATGTTGTTTATAAGGACAGAATTTCTGACATTTAAGTCATGATATCTTTAAAGCGATAGAAAATACTGATAGCACTATGTAGTCTCTCTACTGGAATGAAGTCAGTGTTCTGATCTAGCTGTGGTTTACAGGAACCTATCATTTCGGAGTGGGTTCCACAGTTTATAAAACAGATAAAATAGCAATTGTCTTTACTATTGGCTTGAATTTCAAACATTTTCTTTTACTGGTTTGAATTTCAGGCTGTTTTTTATGCTTCTTTAGATGGACCATAATAGAAAAGGCTGCTGAAGGTTAGCATGAAAATAATTGAATAATAAACTCATATGTAGTATTTGGTAAAAGATTATCATGTATGGCTAATTAAATCAACTGGGACAGAGATTATGGATCAGATACCTGGTTTCTGCTGAAGTCCATTAGGAGGGGGGTGTTTGGCTGGCACTGATGTGGGTAGGGCATAAGTTCACTCTACCCATGCTTGTGCCAGCAACATACAGTCAGTCTGAGGCAAAGAGCTGTGATAATGGGGGCTCAGTATTAATGAGGCTAGCATATACAATATGTTGACACCTAGTGAAGCGTTCTAAGTGGCCATCTTTCCTTATTCTTCTGATTTGTCATCTAGAGCATTTGAAGAAACATTAACGTCATGTATATATCTTCCTCTCCTCTCATTCCTATCATATGAAATCAGTGAAGCTTAGTATTGACTGCAGCATGATCATCAGAAGAATAAGAAAAGATTAAAATGAGTTATTGTATTGTATATACAATGTATACAGAGTTATTTAGAATATCAGTGAACACTATTATTGTAAATTATTGTAACTGAACAATTTTTTAAAAGAAATCTATGAGTTTGATAAAAAAATGCTATGTAGGACTGTGTTTAATAGTCTTACAGTAGAAAAGATTAAAATAAGTAAAAAAGTAAAGTAGCCTTAAAGTAAAAAAACTTCTCTGGATAATTAAATTCAGATTTTTTTGATTTAAGAAAGTTTGTAAGGTTTCTAAAGAAAACAAAAAACCCACCAACAGTAATACTTTCGAATTCCAAAACAAGGAGCATATGTAAAGCTTATTTATGTGGTAAAGATTATTCCATTGGTTAACTGTCCCAAGCGTTTATGAGTTTGGAGAGCTTTTTGATGTCTAGTTCTTAAGTAAAGCACAATTATTCATCCCATTCATTTTCTCATCTTTCAGACCATTACTTTTCCATTTTTAGTGTGTGACAGTTTTCATTAAACTAAAAGGATAATGTTCAAGTTCATGCCAACAACAGTTTCTCTTTCTGTTTGACTCTGCTTTCTCAGCTGCCAACAATCTTTTTGTAAGAGAACGGTACTTCTGATTTCCTCATTTCCAAGTACAAGACAGAAATTGAGGGAATCTTTTTTCCCCTACTGTCGTCACTTCAGATCTCATTTTATCATAGAAACTGAAAGAGGTTTAAAGGACTATAAAAGCTTTCAACAGAATTGTAAGGCAGCTTTTAGCTACAAAGCATTTTGACTGTCCCTGGAACAGCACTAATTTTTAAGAGGTTATGAAGGACCTGGGAACCCGGGAAGAAACAGTGTTTATATCAGAGAAGTTCTGTATGCAGCTGGCATAATTGCCAGCTCCTCTGAGCTCTGAGAAGACTAGAACAGGGTTGCATTTTATCAAGGGACAGCCACTCAATATTACAAGAAAGGTTCTGAGAATGATACTTCTAGCATTTTACCTCAGTTTGAAGACAAGACATAAAAGGTCACCATCATGATGAGTTTGCATTCTAAATTGATTTTAAATGTAAGCCCAAAATAAGACATTTCCAGAAGCTGGGTTTTTAACCCATACATTGTTTATAACCTTAAGCTTTGTTGTGCTAATGAACGAGAAGCTGAAAATAAAACTGTTTCCTACATAGAAAGTGAAACTAGTTGTCTGTCTTCGTTATACAAGTTGAAAAAAATACATTTAAAAATAATTCAAGAAAATTAGGGTAGAGGTTACAATTTTTCTCTCTTAAATGCTGCAAGATCATGGAGCAGATTGTCCTGGGAGCTATGGTAAGGCACATGGGAAATAAGGAGGTGACTGGTGACAGCCAACATGGCTTCACTAAGGGCAAATCGTGCCTGACACATTTGGTGGCCTTCTACAATGATGTTAAAGTGTTGGTAGATAAGGGAAGAGCAACTGACGTCGTCTACCAAGAGTTCTGCAAAGCATTTGAGACTGTCTCACATGACATCCTTGTCTCTAAATTGGAGAGAAATGGCTTTGACAGATGACCGCTCAGTGGATAAGAAATTGGTTGGATGGTCGCACTCAGAGTTGCAATCAATGACTCAATGTCTAAGTGGACACTGGTGATAAGTGGCATTCCTCAGATATTGGGGCTGGTGCTGTTTATCAGCGACATGGACAGTGGGATGGAGTGCACCCTCAGCAAGTTTGCCGATGACACCAAGCTCTGGGGTGCAGGCGACACGCTAGAGGGAAGGGATGCCATCCAGAGGGAGCTTGACAGGCTTGAGAGCTGGACCCGTGTGAACCTCGTGAAGTTCAGCAAGGCCAAGTGCAAGGTCCTGCACCTGGGTCAGGGCAATCCCAAGCACAAGTACAGGCTGGGCAGAGAATGGATGGAGAGCAGCCCTGAGGAGAAGGACTTGGCGGTGTTGGTTGACGAGAAGGTCAACATGACCTGGCAATGTGCGCTTGCAGCCCAGAAAGCCAACCGTATCATGGGCTGCATCAAAAGCAGCATGAGGAGCACGTTGAGGGAGGGGATTCTCCCACTCTACTCCATTCTGGTGAGACCCCTCCGGCAGTACTGCCTTCAGCTCTGGGGCCCTTAACACAGGAAGGACATGGACCTGTTGGAGAAAGTCCAGAGGAGGGCCACGGAGATGATCAGAGGGCTGGAGCACTTCTCCTATGAGGACACGCTGAGAGAGTTGGAGTTGTTCAGCCTGGAGAAGACAAGGCTCTAGGGAGACCTTATAGCAGCCTTCCAGTACCTAAAGGGGCCTACAAGAAAGCTGGGGAGGCACTTTTTACAAGGGCATGAAGTGATAGGGCAAGGGGCAATGGCTTTAAAGTGTGAGAGGGAAGATTTAGATTAGATACTATGAAGAAATTCTTCACCATGAGGGCAGTGAGGGAAGTTGTGGGTGCCCCATCCCTGGAAGTGTTCAAGACCAGGCTGGATGGGCCTTTGAGCAACCTGGTCTGGTGGAAGGTGTCCCTGCCCATGGCAGGGGTGTTGGAACTAGATGATCTGTAAGGTCCCTTCCAACCCAAACCATTCTATGATTCTATGAAGATACTAAGAACAACAGAAGTAAGGAACAGAACGATTGCATTGTTACTTTCTCTGCCATACTTACTCAGGAACACTGAAAATACATTTTTCATGGTAAACTTTCTGTCTTCAGCGATGGTTGTAAGGGAAACGGGCTCAAGTAAGGCCATTTGCTCGACCTTAATGTCTTGGGTGCAGCTAATAGTAGAAGCAAAATGTCCTGAGTCTCTCTAGTATTTGAATGGGATAGTCCCTGAAATCCAGGTAGCTTAAACACAGGGACTCGTGGTTAAATGAATGGTAAATTTTGGATCACAAAAACTTAAAGAGTTGAAATACTCTACTTAGTTCCATGTTAGTACAGGTGGAGTGATTTCATGCTCTCAGAGTGTGTCCTAAACCACAAATGTGCATTGAGGTGGAATTTTTCCAGCTGAGCTGAAAGAGTATTAAATGATGGGTTCCTTTCAGTCATCATGTGCTCAAAGTTGAACTGTCTCCTCCCTTGTATTCTGTTTCTTCCTTCATACAAAATATTTTAAAATTATTTTTCACACAGTAACTCTTTTCTGGAGCCTTCATGATTATTAAAATAATTAATTATGGGGGGAGTGTATTTTAACATTTTGGAGCCACTTTAAATATATAAGATCCTCTTCGAGCTTCCTTAAGAAAGCTTTCAATAGGATGCTGAATTTCAGTCAAATGGGAATTTTCAAGAGGTAGGAAGTGCCAGTTGTGGTGTAGCATTGCTTACCAAAGGGTAAAGTATAATCTTAGCAGTGATAATATCAATTCTGTTGTGTGGATGCTATGAAGAGACCACCATATGCTTAAAAGGGGTTGGTAATGTTCTGAGTAGTATTCTCTTATCTTGTTTTCTGTGAAATTTTCTTGGGAAGAAAGGTGAAACGCATATTGAAAACTAACAGTTAATTTAATCCATTGCTGTTTAGAGTGTTCATGTTTCAGTATTCTTTATGTAGTTTTGTTTGCATTTGTTATTTCTGTTGCTTTTTACATTTCACTGGAAAAATATCAGCATGGATTGTTTTGATATGTGGGGAATTTTTAGATGGAAAGGAGATGGAGGAGGGGATGGTGAAGTCTGACAACATCCCATTGAGTCCAGAAGTGAATCATTGCCAGTCTGTTTGATCACTTTAAATGTATAAGACGTAGTTGAAAACTGATTGTTTTTCTTGACTTGAAATTATTTTTAACCTAATCTTGTTGGACTTGATGATGATGGTTATGGTTTCTTCCTTAGACTTCTTTTACTTTGTCCTGGGCAACGTACTTGTTGGCAAACCACCCTGAGGTTCAACAACGTGTTTATGAGGAAATTGTCAATAAGCTGGGGAAGGACCAAGTTCCTGTTGCTCATGATGTTGCAAAATTGCCTTTGATTAGAGCTGTGCTGAAAGAAACCTTGAGGTAAGTAGCAGACAACTGCAATCATTAATTAAAAAATTTAATTCCATGTAGTTGTAATGGATTTTGAGTCCATGCTAATATTTGTATTTAGTCATTATTACTTCTGTTTGCTGCTTCTGCTTTTATTTATTGTAGCAGTATTGTGTCCAAGGATGCTTAAGCAAAGAAATATGATTGACTATGTAATATTTAATGTTCTTAAGTACAGCAGAAGTAGTATCACTTATGTAGGGCATGTCTGTTATGGTAGGTAAGAAAACTTGATTTTTGCCTTTTAAGTATTAGTCTGTATGATGGACTGTAACAACCTCTCCCCAACACTGGTACTTTGCAGTGCCACTATAATTTTTTAAGCTTCTTGACTTAAATTGAAGGCATGTGACATTCTTTTTTTGTATGTTTACACCAAACATTCATAGTGAGGTGAAGGGAGTAAAAGGATTTTAGAGAAGGCATCAACAAGGCTTTTTCATCATCCAGTGGTGCTAAAACATCTCCAGCTTGACCAACTGATTGCATGTTTGTACATGTGTAAAGCAAATAAATATATAGACCAAATAGCTCAACCTCTAGTTACTAGTAAGTAAGTTTTCTCAGATGTCAATCATATTCTCACAGATGATTCAAGGTCTTCGAACCTCCAAGGGTTCTGTACTTTTGGAAAACCTTTTTGCTGTGAATGTATATTGCATTCACCTTGCATATTTGTGAATGCAAATTCAAATCTAAACTTTTAACATTGTATTAGAAGATGGTCCAAGGGCTGGAGTACCTCTCCTGTGAAGACAGGCTGAGACAGTTGGGGTTGTTCAGCCTGGAGAAGAGAAGTCTTCAGAGAGACCTTAGAGCAGCCTTCCCCCCATGGCAGGGGGGTTGGAACTAGATGATCTTTAAGGTCCCTTCCAACGAAACCATTCTATGATTCTACGATTAGTTATTACTGTTGAACCTCTCATAAATATTTGTCTCTAGGTTATATCCAGTATTGCCAGGAAATGGAAGAGTGACCCAAAAAGACTTGATCGTTGGAGGATACTTGATACCTAAAGGGGTAGGTTCTATTGCAGTCCTCTGCAGAGAACACAGTTTAATTTTTGTGTATGAAATGTGATCCGTGACAACATAGGTATACTTCATTGTTTTCAAAAGATTTCATCAAGCTAAAGCATTAAAAAGAAAGTATTTCAATAATACCCACTTATATGACAAAAATGGATTTTATAATTGACTCGTTGCTGTTGGTTTTTTTCAGATTTGGGTCCTCACCCACTAATCAAATTTACCATCATGACTTGTTCTTAATATTCTTGAGGGTGGAATCTATTAACAACATCTCTTTGCAATGTTACAATTTGATTTAAAAAGCATGAATTTCATTATTCTCACAGTTTTCTAATTCTTTGCCTGTTAATCCCCTTTGTAGAAAGGGTATAATTTCCTTTTAAAATTATGAATCTTTCCTTTATACTATTCAAATATTACATAGAGATCATGGCAGAACTGTATGGCTTTATTTTAAATAGTGGCACTTCTGTGTTACAGCAACGAAGCTTTAAAACAGTTAGGATTCTTAATTCTTAATATACTTATTTAAATATTATTCCACACATATCCCCCCTCCCGGATTTATTGGGAAACATCATCACATCAATTATTGCTGTTTTTTTTCCAGAGGTGGTGTGGGTTTTTTTTCCTTCCTATACTCCATTTTTTCCTTTTCTCTTGTCTTGTATCTTCTCCCTTTCTCTCATACTATTTATTTGAGACAATTCCCAATACTTGTGACTTTTGTTCTCATCTCCTTCCCCGCTGCATCTTCTCTAATATATCCAGCAAGATTTAAAACAATTTGATGAAAATTTCATTTGACCAGTTGAGAAAGGGATCTGATTTTCTAGGTATACTTTTTTCTTCTAGAATTACTCAAAGATACTTAATTTTTATCACCTCGTTTTGCAGAAATTACAGTAATTACAAATGCTTTTTTATTTTGTTATGTGTATTGGAGTTAGCTAAATATAAATGTAATTTATTTCCTCAGACGCAGCTGGCACTCTGTCATTATACTACTTCATACAGTGAAGAAAATTTCTCAATGGCAAATGAGTTCCGACCTGAGCGCTGGCTGAGGAAAGATAATTTGGACAGAGTAGACAATTTTGGTTCCATCCCCTTTGGTTATGGCATTCGAAGTTGTATAGGAAAAAGAATTGCAGAGCTGGAAATTCATCTTGCACTGATTCAGGTTAGAACTATGTGACAGCATTACAAGAAGAAAAATTTATTGGTATGATTCTTTTCTATGTATACCATTTCTGGATATCTTACGGTGCTCAAAAACTTTGTTTTGGAGTGTTGTCTAGCATATTCATCCTGCAAAAGCTTAAAAAATTGAAATGCAGCATACTAGTTAAATCACATTGCAGAAGGAAAAATCTTTACTAGTACAAATGAAGTAAAACTCAAGGTAAGATTGTTAAGGAAATATATGGATTTAGTATAGAAGGTTTTTGTAAGCAAATTGCAAGTCTGTCTTAATGGTATAACAGAATGGTTACCTGCTCATTTTCAGTATTTTAGTTACAAAGAATTCAGTACTTATAAAGATTTAAAATAGTTTTTGTATCCTACTACTGACCAGTGTTACAACAAATAGTAGAATTTTTCTGTGTTCTGTGGTTTTCTGTCTCTTCTTGTTCTTTCTTCTAACTTTATTATCATTTTAGGTATACATAATTTGTAGTTATATAAGTAGTTAGTACATATTGATATTTATTGTTTTTCATTGTTTCATATCATCAAGAAAGCTTTCCCAATAGCTGCTACATTTTTTGCCGTTTACAAGACACCCTTTAGCTCAAATACTGAGATCAGATTGTGCAATCAAAACTCAAAGATTTGGAAACTATTTATAGTTACTTAACTATAAAAATATTTAGACTCATTATATGTATTCAAAGCAAAGCAAAGCTTGATTGAATTTGCCTTAGAATTTCCTTAAGTAAACTCCTACAGCAATCTCTGAACAATTAGCATTTGTCTTTCGGAACTCAGAGTGAGATAGCTCTCAGGGGGCTGTATAAAACAAGCATACTTGCATCTTTTTGACAAGGAGGATCAGGGGAGTAAATAGAGAGCCTGATTTTGTTTTCCAGAAAGAAACTAGAACAAAGTAGCACACAACCTATTTACAAGCATTGAGATGATATTTAAGTGATTTAAAAATAAACACACATGAAGCATGGAGCTGATCAAAGAGAAATTGTTTCAGATCAGTCTGATTTCTTTCTTTGACTTGATCACTTACCTAATGTGGTAGATATAAAATAAATCATGTATTCTGACTTCAGGAATTATTTGCACGTCCTGTACATTGTTCCCACAATTAAATTAATAAAATTTGTTCCAGATGGAAGTACCTATAAAATGCATGCACAACTGGTTGGAAAAAAGAATTAGCTGGAGGCAGTAGCTGTTAAACATTTGCTGTTGAACTGGGAAAGCGTTTAATTAAAATTCTATAAGAGTCTGTCCTGCATTAGATTTAGGTTGGTATTTTCATTAGCAGTGTAAATGATGGATTAGAGAATACTTTTAGAGTTTGCATAGGATACTAAGCTGACATGAATTAAGATAAAATCAGAGAATGTGAATATAGAATTATGAAAAAATGGAGAAATGTTCCAGAATCAACACAAAATTGTTCACTAAGAACAGTTGCAAGTTACTGCTCTTGAGAAGAAATCAAATGCATAAATACAAATTGCTGACCAGCTGGCTGGGTAATTAGTACTGTAGAAACAGACTGGAGGGATATAGTAAAAAATTGGTCAACAATAATGATGCTAATTCTGACAAGGCAGTGTAATTCTTGGGTATATTAACAGTATTAACAGAAACATTATAGCACGTTATATGTGAGAAAGAGGAGCTAAATTACTCAGTCTTACCAAACGCTGGTGAATCCTCAGCTAGGCAACGATACGCAACCGAAATTGTGTGCTGCATTTTGAGGACAATATAGTCAATTTGAGGGAAATTTGGAAGACAGATAGAATAACAAGAATAAGATGTTTGAAAAAAAGAAGAATGAGATGAAAATTTGATCAAACACTGAAAAGATAGTTTGTATAGGAAAATAATGCATTGTTCATCATGCTAGAAGGATAAGAGAAGTTTGTTTAGTTTATAGGAAAAAGCATTTGAGATTTAGTATTAGGAGAAGTTAAGGATGTTGCAGTATTTCCTTCCTGAAAATTTAAAATTAGATAGTTGAGGTATTCTGTGTTCAGCTTCAAAATGGGTGAGATAAATCTCTTGAAGTTTGTTTTAGCCCAGTTTGCAACTGATTCTCTCAGTTTCATGAAGTGTATGGAAATAGAGTTTAACGTATAGAGAACATGTGTGATTGCATTATAGTGATTCTGTTCAGGAGAGGTTCTAATATTTGACTCCTTGAATTATGATTGTTTCACTTGGTGCACTGGACAGTTGCTGTCTCATTTTGGTTTTGTTTCCTTCTGCCCAGGGAGAGAAAGGTGTGCAATGGGATTGGGACTCTCTTATTTCTTAGTGTGATAATTGCACATATTGGTTTAAATTACAGGAAGTGAAATCAAAACCACATAGAGATGAAGCTCACAAGGTTTGAAAGACACCTTAGTTTCTTTGATAGCTCAGATGGTTTAATCTACTTGTGTGGAAATTCTTCAGAAAGGACTAGCTCAGTCCTCCCTCAATGAGAAGAGGAAGATTTTTGACTATAATCTTTACCTTGTAACAACTATTTTTTCTTTCCTGTTTCGGAATTGTAGCACTTGGACTCCACAGAATTGACAACAGAAATTTTGTTTGTGACAATCTGTTATGTTCTCTTTTCCAAAGTCTGATCTTCAGCTGTAATTTTGCAGCTTTTCTAATACTTGTCTTGTTTATCTTCACAGTTGCTTCAGAATTTTGAGATCAAAATTTCTCCCAAAACCAAACCAGTTCATGCCAAAACCCATGGACTTTTGACTCCTGGGAACTCCATCAATGTGAGATTTTCTAACAGAAAGTGAGACTCAAATGTTTTGGAAATACTTGTGTGATTTTCATGGGAACAGACTTGCATCATATGGATGTTTAATAATGCTTGTTCTCTGGTTTGTAGGTATTTGGCAAAATGATCAAGTATTATGTTCTGCCTTAGTTCTAGCAGTACATAAGAGAAATTACCTCTCCTATAGTAAAGTATTACACATATGAAAATATATACTGAAAGAATTCCTTCTCGCACGGGGAATCTCCGTTTACCTGGAAAGATTCCTAGTAATAACAACACATGCATTGGAAAAAAAAAAAACAAACCCCAACCCAAAATGAAATTCAGACCTGTCAGTATCATTCAGTGGTTTTGTTACACTGCTTTGTCATAAAAGTCAACTACTTAGTGAGTCTATTTGAGAGCAAGAGGATTACTGTATAATATGTGAAAATTGGCTTCATTTATGAGTTTGTGTTTTCCTGTTTCTTATCCTCCAGATTTTTTTAAAAGTTTCCACCTAGCATTGAAATTATGAGATAATTTTTCTCTTGTCTGTAAAAACATTTACTCTGCATATATTAAAAGATAAATACAGTAATATGAAAAGTAAAGATAGAAAAAATACAATTTATATCACTTTGTTTAGACTCAAAATACAGAACAACAAAAAATTTATCCAAACATAATCCTCATAAAAACTTTACATGTAATTTTGTTAAAAAATTAAAAATCTTAAAAATAAAAGTTTAAATGTAACATTGTAGAGTTATGAACCCAGACATTGTCCTCATCACCAAAGCATAAGCTGAGCGGAATAGCACAAGCCACTTTGACTGTTCTAGCTAATATTATGCCAAAACCAAATGTAAATAATAAAAATGAAGTACTTGTTACATTTTTATCATTTAATTAAAATATTACTATTGACTGTCTTCACAGTTCTTCAACAGTAAGAACTGGAAACTTCCCATTGTAACATGCTGAACCCATAGGCAGGTGCACAGTTGCCTTCTGTAGGATGGAAATGTGACTACTGAAGTATTTGGAGATTTTTACTATCTAGTGTCTAATACAAAGAGTGGACACCTGAGAGGTTGTTTTTTTTTTAATTGTTATTTTTCCTATGACAACTAACAGAAAAGTCTCTCTTGCATGATACTTTAGTCTTTAGATAACTTCAGTATCATTGCACTAACCTTATGTTCCCATTTTTGCGAGAAACCTTATACCTTGGGTCCATGTTATGCCTTGAACAACGGTCAAACCTGCGTATCCTAATATGAAATTAACTATGTAATTATGTATCATTAACTGTTTACATGTCAGGCTCTGACTTGTTTGTGAGGTAGTTTATGTACTGATAATTATAAACTTCTCAGCCACATGCAGAGTTAGAAAAAAGTTGTGCAATTCAGTTTTTAAAATTACAACATTTTTGTTGCTCATCTAGCTATAAGAAGTCAAAGACAGGTTACAAATTAAATAACACACTGTAGGTTTAATAGTGTACATGAAATTCAACACAGCTAACTACTACAATCACATTGTTGTAGTATTTTGGTTACTTTTTGTAGTGCCTTTTCAAGGTCTTGACAAAAGAAAAACAAAAAAATCTCCTTTGTATGGATCTTATGTATAAAATAATACACTAAACAAAATTGATCTGATCTGTGGGAAGACTAAATGCTTAGATGATGAGTTTAAATCTATATTGAGCATATATATGTACTATAAGAAAAACAGGTAATCTGTGGAGGGTTTTCTCCTTGAATGAGTTGCCTTCTGATGCTATTTTGCAGGGCTTCACATTATTCCCTTTTTTCTTCTTTCCTATTGTTATTTCCAGTTGTCCCCATCTTAAACAGAATTAAGAAAGTTGTATTTGCCAGAGCCAGCTGACATCCCAAAGGAGATGTTTTGCAAAGGTCTGTTTAAAAGTCTGTGGATTGACTATTTGACTCCATAACTCTGCCTGTTTTTGTTGACTTGGGGACCAAAGAGCCCAAGCCTTGAATCGAGATCTGGATTCTGTATGCTGCCTTCCTTTTTTTGTTATCATAGCATCATTAGAAACATCAGCCATTGCTATGTTGCAGTACATTTGCCACTTGGTATCAGTCCCTAAGTAATACATCACTGTGGAAGAGGGAAAAGGCATTCTAAAATGCTCTTTAAAGCATTGGAATCTTTTCATGAAAACAGAAAACCTGTGATTTGTTTTAATAGAGCATCTATCCATGTAAGTTGTCTTTTATACATAATAAAATATTTATACAGAATTTACAAGTCCTGGTTCTTATTTTAATTGCTATTTATAATTGCGTTTTTCTTTAGCATCTTAAAGTTTTTAACTCGTTGGATAGAACTGGAAGATGCACTGCTACATAGGAAATTACTAGTTCAGCTAGAAAAGATGGGGATTCATACAAGAATATAAGGTGTGTAATGACCTGGCTGACGAAGAGATATTATGTTAAGTGTACTGTCATTCTGGAGTAAAGTTACTGGCAAAGTTACCCAAGAAATAACCTAGGTGTGATTCTAATGTAATGTTTTGATTAAGTTAATTGCTTAATACATAGAAGAGTATTAATGATATAAAGAGTGAAGGCATAAAGTGTAAAAAACCAAAACAAACAAACAAAACCCAAAAACTCCAGAACCCAGAATGTAATAGAGACAGGATGGAATTTAATAGCAAAGACATATATGTAGGGAATAAAAAGAATTTATTTGAGGAGTTCACCAGTTGAAAATGAAATGTGTAGAGAAAGACCTAGGTAATCACAGATGACTAGAAATTGCAAGTGTGTCAGAATAATGAAAAATACAGCCTAGAATGTATGAGATGAAGTATCTCTGATAAGGATTGGGGAAGAATATGTGAGACTGCATCTTAAGTGCTATGTACAGTGTGGTTATGCTCTCAAAAAGGTGGAGTTTGATTTGAACAGGTAAGGCGACTACTAAGATTATCAGGTTAATTAAGTTTCTGTGAGTGGAGAAAGGGTTAGACTACAACACTTTTTTTCTCTGCCTCCCTGTGGTTTAAGCAGACCACAAGCTTGCAGATCAAGCCCTGGCACATCTGGAAGCTATGTAACCATGGGCTTAGGAGAACTTGTTTCTTTGGACACAAAACTGTGCTGATTTGATTATGCTCCTTCCAGTTGGATTAGATAGCAGGTAGTGGAAACATGGATGTCTGCAAGAGACTAAATGTATCCGCAAAAACATTCATGTAATTAGTCTAGAAAAGTGAATAATGAGAGAGGAGATAAATGTTCTTTTCAAATACCTTTGGGTTACAGTGTTTACTTCTTAAGGTAAAGGGCAATGCCTGCCCAAGACAAGTATTACCAGCTAGCAATAAATAAACTGGTGTAGAAAGTTTTAAGCTATCAGGAAAATGAGAGTTTAGAATAAATTTGCTGTGAGAAATGGTGAAGACAAAAAAAAAAACAAAACACAAATTCCCAATCAGCCATGAAATGATGGAGCATGGTGAAAAGAATCTATAAAGTGATTGTTTAACTAGAACCACTGCATTCAGTCAGTCTGTTCTCTGTTTTTTCTTACTCTGTTGTAGGCACATAGGCATGGAAGGAATCTATGAGGTCAATGGTGAAGTAGTCACAACTCCAGCAAAATTGTATGTCAGTGGTGAATGAAACTTATGAGCTCCTTAAATATCCCAGCATTGATGTGGCTGTGAAGATGGAGAGTAGCATGCCTGGCAGCTGTGAACATGAAAGAAGTAGGCACTGGGGGTACGTTTGGAGCTAGAAACAGGGGAGTTGTGCCATCATGCACAGGACTGGGGAAGGGGAGTAGGAGAGCCACACAGAGTGGAGGCTTTGGGGCTACACCAAGTAGTCTATGGAAGTGTACATGAGATCAAAGTTAAGGAACGGGAGAGGTGAGCTGTGGACTGCGTGTAGGATGGGGGAGGACGAGAGAAATGGGATGAGGCAAGAGCAGTTTGGGTGCCTGATGTGTGTGCTATTTGCGCCATATACCGCCCCCCCCTCCCCAAAAGGCCACTACTTTTTTTGATCCTTGAAGTTTTTGCTTCCTATGTTATGTTGTCACATAATGATCATAACTTAAAAAAATGCCATCATATAACTACTAAAGATTTACATCTTTGATAATGCCAAACTTTCTCTGTGTGTGCCCAGATAAAAACTCTGAAGGATATAACAAATCATTAATTCTCAGCATTCCAGAACAATGTTTGCACTGGTAGGCTCCCATGGAGGCAGATGCATTGGAGGGTTTTTCACTTCCTGAAGTGCCAATAGAGGATTTACAGGGTCATGTGAAAAGCAGATGCTAAGATGAGTTAAAATACTACCAAGTTATAGCTGTACCGCTACTTAGGATGGATGTAAATACATATGCCAATACAATCACTATGGAAGACAAGTCCAACTGGTCTTACACATTGGTCCTTTCTGATTTTTGCAAGGTGATTGTCTGTGTCATGGACTGCGTATATTGAAGCAAGATAAACTATGGTTCACTGGCATGTGTGTTAGAAAACATTAAGGAAGGGGTCCAAAGTTGCTGGATATTTCTTATTCATACATGTTTTCATCTAAATTTTACACCAGCAGTAGTAAATAATAAAGTTAGATGGGAAGGTGTGAGTAGTAACTATTTTAATACCTGATCATTTTTAAAATATATTTTTAATATATATATCTCTATGCACAAAAAAAAGAAAAATATTTTATATCTGTGATTAATACAGACATTCACATATCGGTTTCCCTTTCAAAGGGTATTCACACAGAAAATAAGTAAATGTATACCTAGAGCTTGCAAATATTATTTACTCATGTCCATGCTGAATTTAAAAAAAACCCCAAACTTAGATGTTATGTGGGTATATGTGGGTATTTTAAAAATAATTTCATCTGAGAATTTCCTGTAAGGTTTCCAAAGTAATTTTCAAGGAAACCACTGAAAATACTACACCGTGGTTTTGGTACCACTAGGTGGTGCTGCCCTTATAGTATTCCTTAGTAA